CTTTTTGTCCTCACAAAGAGAGCTTTATTTTGGTGATATTTTTTTGCCTGGGCGGTTTTTATTTTTTGCGCTATAAAAAAAGACCAATGATTTTGAGAAAAAAAAAAAAATATTTTTTACATTTTGCTAATAAACATGTCCAGTAAAAAAATTAAAAAAATCTAATTTTGTCATAAATTTAGGCCAAATGTATTCTGCTACATGTCTTTGCTAAAAAAAAATCCCAATATGTGTAAATTAATTGGTTTATGTGAAAGTTATAGTGTTTACAAATGGCAGTATATATATTGGGATTTTTTAAAATTCATTTTCACTAGTAATGGCGGCGATCAGTGACTTATAGTGGGACTGTGGGACTGAAGCGGGCAATCTGACGCTGGGGGGAACTGACTTGGTGTCACTGACATCCCCAGTGACACCAATGCAGTGATCAGTGCTAATAAAAAGCACTGACACTGTACTAATGACACAGGGCATGAAGGGATTAACATTTGGGGTGATCAAAGGGTTAACTGTATGCTGTGTGCCATTTTACATCATGTTCTGTGTGTGTGTGTGCTTCACTGTAAGCACACTGCTTTGCATGGCTGTGCTGTGCACAGCCATGCAAAGCAGTGTGCAGGAGCTGACAGAGAAGAGAACTGTTTTGTTTACTAACAGTTCTCCCCCCCACCTGGACCCAGTGATTGACAGCCGTGGCTGCAAAATGCAAAATCATGTATTTATACTTGATTTTAAGAACAGCTGCCACCTTGAAACAGTATTTCTGGGGCAGAGCTAAAGCGATTAAATGATTGATCCCCTGGTTTGTTGACAAACAGTAGCCATCAGGGATCTGTCATGTAGCAGCAATACTGCTATCTCTGCTACATGGCAGATCCTGGATGCTATTTGTAAACACACAATGTCACTTTTACCATCATATGCAGCTTTAAAGTGGTTGTAAAGGCTGAAGGTTTTTTACCTTCATGCATTCTATGCGTAAAGGTAAAAAACCTTCTGTGTGCAGCAGTGCCCCCAGCCCCCTCACTACTTACCTGAGCCTCATCCATCAGTGATGTGAATGACAGCCTCAGATGGTCTCTGCCTCCTCATTGGCTGAGACAGCAAGTGGGAACCAGTCATAGCCAGTCAGCCAATGAGGAGAGAGAGGGGACGGGGCAAAGTGCGGCTGAATGTGAATGGACACACGGAGCAGAGGGTGCCCCCATAGCAAGCTGCTTGCTGTGGGGGCACCTGACAGACAGGAGGAGACAGGAGAGCCTGCGGGGGACCCAAGAAGAGGAGGATCCAGGCTGCTCTGTGCAAAACCCCTGCACACAACAGGTAAGTATAGACATGTTTGCTATTTTAGAAAAATAATTAACCTTTAGAATCACTTTAAGGCATCCCTAAGCAAGCATGTTATTTAAAGGATTTGTGAATTTCAGTGCTGCCTGATCTTGGATGAAATTTTGGAATTGGAACATGTTCCACTATGGCAGTGACCAGCTAGGCATGCCCTTTTTTTTATCAAAAGCTTACAAATTGTCCTTAAAAAAGCCAAAAAAATAACAAGAGTCAGCTCCAACAGACTTCAAAGGGATTCAGCTCTATGTTTGGGTTTAGCAAACCAAACTTAAACATTACATATGAACCTTACTAAATAATCACAAAGAGTCCTCTGGCTGCTGTTTTTAATGTGATATAGTCTCTTCAGCAATACGTATTATAATATAAACAAAGTAAAAATGGCTTACATAAAAGAGAAAGTCAGCCTGGTTCAGAATAGATTGTGAGCACACATTTGTGCCATCTGTTTTACAATATAACTAAAATGATTCTGCTGTTTTGAACATAGTGGGAAAGGGTTAGAACCTTTTCCAGATTTTTAAATGCTGTCTTAAGATTTCCTTGAGTAGATTCTACCTCATTTCCTTTGGTGACCATATTGTGAGGGACAAGAAAGTGAGAAACAATTTCTAGTTGGAATACAGAAAATAAAGGCAATACTAAGCTGAAACCAGTAAAACCTTATATGACGCTAAGGGCAGTAACACTCTCTGTGTGCCTTGGTCTGGTAGATATGGTCTATTTGGTGGCTATGGTCTGGAGGTTTTATTTTCATGAAGTGGAATGATGGGTTAATAGTATTGTGTATAAATAATATGGTGTTCAATTCTACATGAGGTGGTAATAGCAAATTAATTACAAAAGTGCCACCAATCATTTAAGTAAAGCCACTTATGAATATGAACAGCGCATACATTAGACAAAAAGCACTCTACTTTGCGCAATTAACAGAGTTGTAGTTAAAAAAAAGATTTATGGTTTTTATCAGCTTAGGGATAGAAATTTATATAAAATGCAGAATTAGGGCTTTCATTTTTTTCAGAATGAGATCAATAAGCCATTTTTGCTACTGACTAAGAAGGTAATGATGTACTTTTTACTACTCTTTAACATGAATAATATTTTACTGAAACTAAGATATAGATTGTCTACTAAGCTATCTGAAAATAAATGTATAAATTTAATGCTATTAATATATCTGTGTAATCTGTACAGAATTTCAATGACAAAACCTCATTTTCTATAATATTCTATGATATTAATCTGTTAATTGATTTCTTCCTCCAAATTATTTTCTAAATGAAAGACATTGTTATATTTAGTGAATTTTAGATTAGACATTATGAATTTAATTTGAAAAATGAATGTAATCATCATGACAAGTCATCTCAAAACTCCCTACAAGAATATAGATAAACAATAACCGCAGAAGAATTTTAATGTAGAGCTAGGTTAAGTTACTGTATGAGAAGGACAAAAAAAGAAATGTTCTGTTTTTATTAAAATATTGCACAACTCATCATAATTACATGTTGCCTAGTGAAGAACACTGATAAGTTTGTTTCTGTCATAAAGACTGATTGTTTACAGTAAACTTGGTCCTATAGACTGCGAGTGGAACAGCCAACTTTGCTACAAGGTTTGTTTCTTCATGTCTGTTGCTGTTGTTTGGGAACAAGGGAACAAGGGAATTTTCCCCAGAGCTTATTGAATGAAATTAAGTTATGATGTCTTCCATCATCCAATCAATTGCAAGCAAAAACACTGTTTTTTTTGCTTTGCGCATGATTGGGTATTATTTGCAAAGTGAAACTTCAAAACATTCACAGAGCTCTGGGGCAAATTCCCTTGCAAAGTGAAAAAATTGCAAACAAATGCAAAAGAACCAGTTTAGTAGGAGCTGTTTTCTGCTACAGAAAATACATTTTGGTTGCTTTTTTTTTTTTATTTAATTGAAAGATCTAAGCACTGTACAGCTTAAAGCAATCATACAGCCCTTGATGAATCAAAACACTATACTATGGATCATTTATTTTCCGCTCACATGGCCTTGTCAGTATAAGGCTTACAATTCTGGTCAGCATGGCAATTGCCAAGGAAGCAACATCACCAGAATTAAAATACAGATGGGGAAAACTCTGGGTAATGCTTCCTGAAATATGTAAACAAATAACAATATCCAAAAAGAAAAAAATATTTCTGGATAATGAAATGTTGTTCATGCAGTCCTTGCAGTGAATTCTACTTCTGTTGGCTACATCCAGTGACTGGGGCATTCACATAAGACTTACCCAGAGCAAATGATTTGCAAAGACACCAAAGCAGCTGCCTGGGGACTGGCAATAGTACAGGGGGGCTTGGTTTCAGCCTCTGTTTCTTCCTTGCTCCATTAGTGAAGCACATATAGAAAGATGAAAGTGCCACAAGCCTAGAGTAAGTTCAGGATTTTTTTATTAGAGGTAAGAAGAAAGAGCTAATGTGTTTCATAGGCTCACAAATCCCCCTTCATCAGGCCTAAAAAACAAAACAACATAACATATCATTATTAAGGTCATATAAAATAACTGAAAGCCAATGAAAACAAGGTATACTTGGTATGTATGTATGTATGTATATGTGTGTAGAATGTTTAAGTACATATAGACTAGATGTGCACTCCGGTAATTTTTGTTTAATTTTGGATGCATTCATTCATTGAAGAATTTCATTTTGTCATATTTGTTAAGCTGAATCGATTTTGTTTTCAGGATTTATTTTGCTTATTCAGCATCCATTTCGTATATTCATTGGTCTGGGTGGATTTGAAAAATGTTGCTATATTTTTTTTTGTAAGGTTCCTATATTTTGGGTGGAACTGAACTGACTGTGACATTTACAAATTCAATTGAAACCATGTTTTTTTTTGTCAAATAGTTTTTATTCTATAGTTTTCAGTTATACAAAAAACATGGCAGCAATGACTTTCGTGTACAAAATCCATGTTTTTTTTTTTAAAAATAGTTTTTATTCTATAGTTTTCAAATATACAAAAGCATGGCAGCAAGGACTTTCATGTACAAAATTGGATATGAATAAGCCTTTCAGAAGGAACATTTTGGACATACACATCACATGCAGTGTCAGATATGCACATGTAAGACTTTAACCGCCTCCTGCCTGCCATATAAGGAAATGACAGGCGCAAGGCGGTTCTCTCATTCTGGGAGGACGTCACATGATGTCCTTCCACTCTAACTGCACGTGCGCGGTTACGGGGGCATGCAGCGCAGCGAACGGTGGTGCACTGTGTCCCTCAGACAGAGCGAATCACTGATCAACAGAAAGAGCCGAAGACGTCGGCTTGGTCATGTGATCAGCTGTGTCCAATCTCCTCATGAGCTGTCACGATGAGGAGATGAGAGACGGTAATCAGCATTCCTCAGAGGGGACATGTACACTGATCAAAAGGGCACTGATGATCGTTGTGCCCTGATGATCAGTGTAGCCCCAGCAGTGCCACCAGTCAGTGCCCATCAATGCCAGCTGTCAGTGCTCATCAATGCCACCTGCCAGTGCCCCATCAATGCCACATATCAGTGCCTACCAGTGCACATCAATGCCACATATCAGTGCCCATCTGAGCTGCCTTTCAGTGCCACCTATCAATGCCAGTAAGTGCCACCTATCAGTGCTGCCAATCAGTGCCACCTATCAGTGCTGCCAATCAGTGCCACCTATCAGTGCTGCCAATCAGTGCCGCCTATCACTGCACGTCAGTGCTGCCTATCAGTGCACGTCAGTGCCACCTTACATTGCCAGTCAGTGCTGCCTATCAGTGCGCGTCAGTGCCGCCTATCAGTGCCCGTCAGTGCTGCATATCAGTGCCCATCAGTGCTGCCTATCAGTGCTGCCTAACAGTGCCAGCCAGTGCCACCTAATAGTGCCAGTCAGTGCCGCCTAGCAGTGCCAGTTAGTGCCGCCTATCAGTGCTGCCTATCAGTACCATATATGAGTGCTGCCTTTCAGTGCTCATCATTGATGCCTGTCAATGCCCATCAGTGCCACCTACCAGTGCCTCCTCATCAGTGCCCATCAGTGCAGCCTATCAGTGCCCATCACTGCAGCCTCATTAGTGCACATCAATGAAGGAGAAAAAGCACTTATTTACAAAATTTTATAACAAAAACTAAGAAAAAACATTTTCTTTTCAAATTTTTCAGTTGTTATTGGTTTGTTTAGCAAAAAATAAAAAACCCAGAGGGATTACATACTACCAAAAGAAAGCACTATCTGTCTAAAAAAAATGATACAAATTTCATATGAGTACAGTGTTGCATGACCGTGCAGTTGGCTTTCAAAGTGTGACAGCTCTGAAAATTGGCCTGGGCAGGAAGGGGGTGAAAGTGCCCTGTAGGCAAATGGTTAAGCAAAGAACTTTTGACGTTATGCATAATCATTCAGTACAACCAAAATTGAGAAAAAAAAACATAAGAAAACACAAACAAACATGTGTCTGCCTACACACAATAACCAATGAAGAAGCATTAGCAATAAGTCCCCAACTCCCCCACTACTGTGCAAAAGCTTAAACATCTTGGATCAAGACAATAATAGACCTACCACACGTTCCATGGCATGACCACTATAACAAGCAGGATTAACAACATTGTAATAACCAAAGTAAAACGAGTGATAGAGGAGCTAGACCTGGTACAGCAAGCCATGCTGCTAGGAGTGCTCCTTTGTTGGTATATCTGTTTTTCAAGCAATAGAGTGGCATTTACCTGCAATCTCCAGTTCTCAAATGTGGGAGGACTGGGGGATAGCCACTTCATAGCAATTGTTTTTTGGGCAATAAATATTAATCTTATAATAGGTATTCTTGCCTCAGGTGGGATTTGTTCCTCATTAATATATCCAAGTAAGTACAAAGTAGGAAGCAACTTAAATTGTGTTTGGTACACTGTATTGATAGTATCTACGACCATTCTCCAATAATGGATTAATTTGTGGCATCTCCACATCATAGGGAGAAGTTTCTCTGGCAACAGGCACATTCCGGGGTAGATCTACAACCCCGTTTATACAATTTGAGCAGAGTGAGGTACACACTATTTAAAATATTGCTCCATGAGCCATCAGATATGTCTCCCGCATCTTTTTCCCACCCTCCTTGGCCTGGGAGAACCATAAGGACCTGGAAATTACGTAAAAGCACAATGTATAGGGAGGATATCAGACCCCTTTTGTTGGAAACATCTGCATGGGAGGCAATCAAGGGCATAGAATGTATAGACATATTAATTTTCTTAGCTTGGCTAGTGAGTGCATTCCTCAACTTTGGATATTGGAAAAATCTAGTAGAAGGCAGCTGATAAGATTATTGCAGGTCAAAATAAGAGCGGAAAACATTTTGAGGATACAGTTGTGCAACAAATTTCATTCCTCTAACATACCAAAAATGGAGCTCTTCCATGGCACCCAGTTCCTCCAATCTTGGATTATTCAATAAAGGCATATACCTGCCTTCATATTTTAATTATACTCTAGACCCTGTGTATAAGAGCAAAGGAGGGACCCAGAGCAAAATCTGCAAATGTATTAACCTCCAGGTACCATAGAAAGCTTTGGAGGAGCGGGAGAGAAAAATAGCTTGCATGGGGTCAGTTTCTTTCATCAGGTTCCAGCTGGCTAGGTGTTGGAGCTGAGCCACCAAAAAGTAAACTTTAGGATGAGAGACTGATCGACTTCCCTCTGTTTTCGGAAGTTGTAAAATGGATAACTGAATTCTAGGGTTCCTGCCCCGCTAGAGCAATGTACAAAATATAGTATCAGTTTGCTTAAATCACGTATCCTGTACTACTATCAAATTGTGTTACATTATCTGAATGAAACAAATGCATTTATTAATTTCATTATGACTTTTTTGGATTTTTTTACATTTATTATGATTTAGAGAATTTCATACATCCAAATCTCCAAAAATTGCTTTGTAACAAACCGAAATGCACATGTCTAATACAGATTCAGTATCAAAACATTTACATAAAATCTATTGTACTGTAAAGGGGTAGTCACCTTATCTGTAAATAATGTCTTCCCCATATATTAGGAGTTAGCATATAAATTGATAAAACTAAAATCTATTGCACTAAAAACTTTACCATCACCATGCATGTAACAGCCATCTATCTCGTATGAAAAAGTATTAACCTATAAATTGATAAAACTGGGGTTAAATTATTGCTTATAATAAAAAAAGTAACTATAATATGTAAAAATATATCTCATAAAACAAATAGTGAAATAAAATGAATCATAAAATATTCTCAAATGTTAAGAGAGAAATACAGAATTTGATATGAACAAAGTCAATAAATTATAATGTAACCACCAGAAAAGAAAAAATGAAATAAAACCAGTATCACCTCAGTCATTTATTGTTACCAGCATAAAGGTAAAAAGCACACTTATATTTTGTGTTAAAATTATTATACTGTATGTATGTTTTTATTGTTTTTACGTTTTTTAAAATAAAATGACAGCTACTATCATTCCTCATTTACCTCACTATGAGGTAAAAATTTCTTCATACTCACATATATATTCTGCAAATTGATTATACAATCCCACAACATTTATTTATTGATTTATTTCAGGTACTTATATAGGGCTGTCAATTTATGCAGCACTTTACATATATATTGTACATTCACATCAGTCCCTATCCCTCAAGGGGCGTACAATCTAAGGTCCCCAACTCACATTCATATACAAGGGACAATTTTACACAGGATCCAATTAACCTACCAGCATATCTTTGGAGTGTGGGAGGAAACCAGAGTACCCACGCAGGCACAGGGAGAACATGCAAACTCCAGGCAGGAGGTGCCGTGGCTGGGATTCGAACCAATGACCCTAGTACTGCCAGGTGGATGTGCTAACCATTTAGCCACTGTGCTGCCCACAACATATACATATTATGTGCTATGCACTATTTCTTCTTATTACAGGGTAGCATGATAATATGCCAATAATGTCTAATTTCATTCTCTGTATTCTGGCAGCTATATTATAATGTATTGGGTTTGTCCATATAAGTACATTTTAGTATATCATAATTTCTTAGTTAATAAAGCAAATTGTAAACAATAAAACCCACATTCTATTTTTCTTTTACATTCATGATATGATTGGCGTGCCTTACAGGAATGAAGATGTACAGTTTTACCTATTATTATTATTGTTTATTAATATTATTATTATTATTACTTTTTTATATAAGCAATATTGTAACCCATTGTGTATGTTAACTGTATTTCACATGATGCAGATGATTGTTACAGATGTGGTGATGGCAATGCTTTTAGTGTAACGGATTTTAGTTTTATCAATTTATATGTTAAAACCTTTTATTTTATGGAGACATTATTTTTACAGATAAGACAATGACTACCTCTTTATAGTGCAATAGATGTACATGTTTTTATGCTGCATCTGTCTATACATAGACATTTTTTTACATTCATACATACAATTTGTATGACATTGATCTTGTTTCAATAGGCTTTCAGTTATCTTATGTTCCCTCATTTATGATATGTTATATTGTCTTGTTTACTTGGCCATGATAAGGTGAATTTTATTAGCTATTTCTTCTTACCTTTTGTTGTGAGATATAAACGTTCACTGGACCTACTCTAGACTTGTACTCTGATCCTTTTTTTAATTTTTTAAACTGCCCTGGGGATCCCTAGGAACACACTGGCTGACAGAGAGCAGTCTTCAAAAATGTAGATTTATATCAGGATTTTAATAACCATTGGGTCCAGTAATCTACCAACACATTTCTTCTCCATTACTGGCACAAGTGGTGCTTCATGTAGAAGGATAGCTAACCTGGGGCAACAGCCCTCTCGGCCTGCTTTTCGATTGTAATCTGCAAGGCGTAGCTGTCAGTTTCACAGCAAGGTCCTGCTCCATACTTCAAGGATGCTAACAGTAGCTTCTGTGTGTTTTCAGGTCTCAATAATAAATACATTGCAACAATATTTTTGTGTTTTAATTTTAAGACTGTAAGAATGAAGCCTGCAAAAAGTGATAACAGGCTTCAGTTAAAGATGCACTGGGGGTTATTTACTAAACTGCATGGTGCAAAATCTGGTATAGCTCTGCATAGAAACCAATCATTTTACAGGTTTTATTGTCAAAGCCTAATTGAACAAGCTGAATTTAGAAGCAGATTGGCTACCATGCACAGCTGCACCAGATTCTGAATGTACCAGTTTTAGTAAATCTCCTCCTCTGTAACAATATCATTATATTGTATTTTGGTTAGTACTTTTTTACAAATCAAAAACATATTCTTTGAACTTCAAAAATTTCCAGAAAATCTGGAAGTGCACATTTTTTAATATATAATCTATTTAAAATGAATTAAACGTAATAAAACATCCTTTCCTTTCTTTCCTGAGCTTTCTATTTTGTTTGACTGTTTTAGGTGTTCAAATGCATATAATTGTAGATGTATAGATATGCTTTTAGAATTTAATAGCAAAGGTTTTGCTAAAATAAAATTTTATTCTTCTTCTAATAATGTGTCATGAGGATATGTCTTTTTTTATCATTATATTATGACAAGGTGTCTTCCTTTTCTTCATGGTCTGCAAGTTTGCAACCACATAAATGTTTCAATCAATGAGTGGTATTTAATAGTTTCTTTCCTTCAAGCTGTGTTTCCTGTCAAATGCTAACTATAGTGCCAATCAATTTCTGTAGCAATATTATATAAAAATCTCAGATGAAGATAGTGGGGTATGTGCTTTGAAGGAAGAAATGTATATTCTGAATACAGCATTTCCTGTTTTTCAATACAGTGTGCCTAGGATAATACTGTATGTGGATCTGTTGTTTTGCAACTGATTGTAAATGGTGCAATAGGGGAGGACAGATACCAAACTTTAAGTCCCTTAGGGCTCATTTAAATGTGCAATGATGAAAATTGAGTGCCCATTAATGCTCCTAATGCATCACGATGCATTATTGGTGTGTTTATGATGCATTTTTGGTACATTTATGGTGTGTTAAAAAAATGCTTGCCAGATGCCCCCTTCACAGAGATTTTCAAACGGGCACTTTGACATCTTGTAGGAAGAATTGCACACACACACTGAGAAGTTCTATGACTATACTCAAATAGGAGTCTCAACATTCAATGCCCTACTGGAGATTCTGCAAGCCGGCTAATGCGATACATAACTGATATGAGGCTTCCAGTGTCTCCAGAATGTCTCCTTGTAACTGTGTGGTATGTAGTTTAAACTTTTCATACCCTGGATAGACCAATGTTACATCGAAGATTAGAAATAGCTGTGTCTGTACCTAAAACATACATATAATAAACTGATTAACTCAACTCATTTTTTTTGTCTAGGTATTTGGCAACTGGAGAGATTACGAAAAGCTGCCATACACTTCATTGTGCATGAAACATGTGAGGTTATATGGGACAAACTGAAAGATATCATGAAACTGTGGCAGGAAATCAGTAAGGAATTTGATAAGAATAGTTGTTTTCCTAACTTCATAGGTGCTTTGGATGGCAAATCCAAAAGCCACCAAATATTGGCTCAAACTTTTACAATTATAAAACATATTTTTCATTTGTTTTAATGGCTGTATGTGATAGCAATTTAATCTTTATTGCTATAAATGTTGATGTGTATGGAAGCTCTGCTGATTTTCAGGTATTTAGATGATCATCAATGGGCAAGAGATTTATGGAAGAAGAACTTAACATTCTTAGCCTTTTAACTGAACATGGTGAGCCCTTTCCATATGTAATAGTTGCTGATGAGGCCTTTCCTCTTTTAACATCTATCATGAAGCCTTTTCCTAAAAGACACCTGGATATGAAGAAAAAGGTTTTCAATTATTGTTTAACCAGGGCTAGCTGATTTCTTGGAGTGCACCTTTGGAATAATGTCTAATAAGTGAAGAATTTTCAGATATGCTGTACAGCTACTCCTCTGAGCAATGTTGATAAAGTGATTGTGAACTCCACAATTTTGGCTGTCAAAGGGAGGGGTACAACTCTCTTCTCCATATCTGTCAGGGCTCCTGGGTATGACCAGAGGTGTGTGACTGACGCAGGGAAACGCAGACTTCAGATAAGTTCTAAACAATTTATTAACACTAACAATACAAACATAAACGCAGTGCAATACTAAAACATAACACAGTGCAAACAAACCAAACCAAACCACCCACAGATAACAGTACATACAGTGCAAGCGTCGTCAGGCAGGCCGGGTCAATATCAATCGGGCAGGTAGGTACAGGGGGAGCAAGCGGAGAATAGTCAAGTCACGAGCAGGGTACAGCAACTAACAGGCAGGTAGGTACAGGGGGTCAGGCAGAGAATGGTCGGGGTCACAAGCCAAGGATCAGAACAGGAGAAGTCAGCAGAGGTCAGAATCAAGCCGGGTCAGCAACAAGACAGGAACAGGAGCAGGATGCAGGAACAAGATACAGGGCCCAGGAAAAACACAACACCAAGGCAGAGTCTGCAGGTCTGAATGTCCCTTAAATACACCAGTATAATTAGTTCCAGGTGTTTGACTGGCTGCAAGGTTGAGTCTCTGATTGCTGGGAGCACCCGCTGGCCAGCCCTGGCACTGCAGCTCATAAGGCAGATGAGTCCCACTATTGCTGGCCAGTCCATTCCTGACAGTACCCCCCCCCCCCTCAAGGAGCGGCCTCAGGACGCTCCAAACAGTCCTAGCTGGGCAAAAAGTTCCACCGCCCGGGTCTGGTAACTGGCGGGATATCAAAGACTGGCACACCGGGCAGGACTCCGGGCAGGGGCACACCGGGCAGAAGCACACCGGGCAGAGGCACACTGGGCAGAGGCACATCGGGCTGGACTCCGGGTAGAGGCACATCGGGCTGGACTCCGGGCAGAGGCACAACGGGCTGGACTCCGGGCAGAGGCACATCGGGCCGGACTCCGGGCAGAGGCACATCGGGCTGGACTCCGGGCCCCCAGGTGGGGAGACAGGCATCGGGCCCCCCGGCGGGGCGACAGGCATTGGGCCCCCAAGCGGAGCGGCGGGCGCCGGGCCCCCAGGACGGGCGACAGGCATTGGGCCCCCAGGCGGGGCGACAGGCATCGGGCCCCCAGGAGGGGCGACAGGCATCGGGCCCCCAGGCGGGGCGACAGGCATCGGGCCCCCAGGCGGAGCGGCGGGCGCCGGACCCCCAGGCGGAGCGGCGGGCGCCGGACCCCCAGGCGGAGCGACAGGTCTCAGGCTCCCAGGCGGAGCGACAGGTCTCAGGCCCCCAGGCGGAGCGGCGGGCGCCGGACCCCCACGCGGAGCGGCGGGCGCCAGACCCCCAGGCGGAGCGGCGGGCGCCGGACCCCCAGGCGGAGCGACAGGTCTCGGGCCCCCAGGCGGAGCGGCGGGCACCGAGTCACCAGGCACGACAGTGGGCACCGAGTCGTCTGGCAAGCACCGAGTCGTCGCGACCGCGGGCACCGAGTCAACTGGCGGAACAGCGGGCATCGAGTCAACAGGCGGAACAGCGGGCACCGAGTCGTCTGGCAAGACTGCGGGCACCGAGTCGTCTGGCAAGACTGCGGGCACCGAGTCGTCTGGCAAGACTGCGGGCACCGAGTCGTCTGGCAAGACTGAGGGCACTGAGTCGTCTGGCAAGACTGCGGGCACCAAGTCGTCTGGCAAGACTGCGGGCACCGAGTCGTCTGGCAAGACTGCGGGCACCGATTCATCTGGCATTGGATCGTCTGGCTCGACAGCGGGCATCGGGTCACCAGGTATGACAGCGGGCACTGGGTCACCAGGCATCAGATCATTTGGCTCGCCAGCGGGCACCGCGTCATCTGGCAAGGCAGTGGGCACCGAGTCACCAGGTACGACAGCGGGCTCTGAGTCAATTGGCACGACAGCGGGCACCGGATCAGATATCGGATCATCTGGATCAACAGCGGGCATCGAGTCAACTGGCCTAATAGGATCATCAGCCTGGATCAGTTCATTATGCTGGGTAGAAGCATCCGGCTGAGTAGAGGCATCCGGCTGAGTAGAGGCTTCAGGCTGAGTAGAGGCTTCAGGCTGAGTAGAGGCTTCAGGCTGAGTGGAGGCTTCAGGCTGAGTAGAGGCTTCAGGCTGAGTGGAGGCATCAGGCTGAAGAGAGGCATCAGGCTGAGTAGAGGCATCCGGCTGAGTAGAGGCTTCAGGCTGAGTAGAGGCTTCAGGCTGAGTAGAGGCTTCAGGCTGAGTACAGGCATCAGGCTGAGTAGAGGCATCAGGCTGAGTAGAGGCATCAGGCTGAAGAGAGGCATCAGGCTGAACCACGGAAGGCAGGTTCTCAGACGGTAGGCTCACCGGTTTGGATACTGGCAGGATGGTACTGGTTGGAAAGAATTTCGCTTTTTTCTGGTTTTAACTACTGGGGCACTGCAAGTAAATGCAGGTCTGCAAATGAATGGAGCAGCTGGAGACAGAGAAGAGCTAGAGGATGGAACAGGGGAAGGAACAGTCGCTACAGAGGGCTTCTTTACAGGGTTAAAGGCAGGATAGGTGCAGCGAGTGGGAACAGGGTACTGACATGCGGTAGATAGCAGGGCAGGAGGAGCTGTTGGGAATGCAGGAATAGAGCTTTGAGGAGATAGATTAGAAGCAGGACTGGGTCTTTGTAAGCTGACTGAGGCTGGGTGCAACAAATCTGTCCATGTCTGCAGTATGGGTTGAACAAAGCTGAGCTTACACAAAGCCTGTCTGACCAAAGACTGCACTGCGTTTATACAATCTCTTAGTACCTGTGGTGAACATGTGGAATAACGCTCCAGAAAGTAACCCACATCATCCTCTAATAACCATACCAGGGACTCTACCTGGTCTGCACTAAATGGTGGCAAAAATTCATTCTTGCATTCGGGGGTACCAGATGAAACCAACTCAGCACAAACCTGAATCAATGGCTGCACCTCAGAGAACTCTGTGCCCTGATCTACTAGAACATGAGCGAGCCGTATACATTCTAGCAGTTCATCCCGGGTATACTCCTTCAGAGTTTGATAAGCATACTCCCTGTCATCAAACACTAGCAGATATAAATACGCAACCTCATCCAGATCCATCCTTCCCATCAACAAACCAAGATGGCTTCCCTGTGCAGCCACTTCTGGTCAGGATTGGCCTTGGTGTAATGTCAGCTCCCGGGTATGACCAGAGTGTGTGACTGACGCAGGGAAACGCAGACTTCAGATAAGTTATAAACAATTTATTAACACTAACAATACAAACATAAACGCAGTGCAATACTAAACATAACACAGTGCAAACAAACCAAACCAAACCACCCACAGATAACAGTACATACAGTGCAAGCGTCGTCAGGCAGGCCGGGTAAATATCAATCGGGCAGGTAGGTACAGGGGGGAGCAAGCGGAGAATAGTCAGGTCACGAGCAGGGTACAGCAACTAACAGGCAGGTAGGTACAGGGGGTCAGGCAGAGAATGGTCGGGGTCACAAGCCAGGGATCAGAACAGGAGAAGTCAGCAGAGGTCAGAATCAAGCCGGGTCAGCAACAAGACAGGAACAGGAGCAGGATGCAGGAACAAGATACAGGGCCCAGGAAAAACACAACACCAAGGCAGAGTCTGCAGGTCTGAATGTCCCTTAAATACACCAGTATAATTAGTTCCAGGTGTTTGACTGGCTGCAAGGTTGAGTCTCTGATTGCTGGGAGCACCCGCTGGCCAGCCCTGGCACTGCAGCTCATAAGGCAGATGAGTCCCACTATTGCTGGCCAGTCCATTCCTGACAATATCATTAAGAATATTTCCAAGTACCCTAAACAAAGCACAGAACAAGCTTCGAATATGAGGGAGATGTATGCCAACAACTTCATGTCTCCTGAAGGAGAGCTTCCTTGGCAAAATAAATTTCTGTCATATTTCTCTTTTTTTCAATTCTAGATGATCTTATCCATGCCAGTGTGTACTTAATAAATCTGGTTTCTTGTACTTTCAGATGTGTAATGTTTGATGACAGTATGTATTATATCATTAAGTGTGCTTGCATGGCAAGACCACTTACTGTTATCTCACATATATATTCTTATTATTATAGCCAAATTTACCACCCTAACTCCTCCCACAGTTTTTACACTACATAGACTGTAATATACCAAAACGTGTGGATTGTTCCCCCGATTGGTGTGCTATGACTTTGTGGAACGTTTCGCCAAATGGTTCACGAAATATCGACGTTTTTGTGGTGAAATTGGTCCCATAGGAATGAATGGCGGAATGTTCAAAACTAGTGTGGGAGCTGACAAACGCTAGAGTGTGAGCTGAAAAATCAGAACATGATTTCTAAACTGCCCATCACTCCCTCATTTTCACCTACACAAATCTTATATATCAAAATGTTCAGCTATCCCTGCTGCCACTAAAAATGTCCACGGCTAAGCCATAGTCCTGATAGTTTTCACAATATGACCATTTGTTTGCAACTCACGCCACCCATTGACATTCATTGAAACTCCACTCTAGCCACCTCAAATTTGAAGGGCAACTTCTAAACTGCGACTGTGCCTTCATTTTTAATATTTCAGAGACATACTATGCATCAAAATGTAGGTCTGGGTCTTGTGATTCCCACAATATAAAGCTCTTCAGTGTAGGGTTTCTAATTTTTAAACTACAACCGTTTGAAGATGGCAACCGCCAGTGAAGTGAGCAAGTTGGAGCAGTTTTGTTTTTAACCGCTCTTCTCTGCCCTTGCTGTAGAGTGAGTTGCCATAGGAACCCAGGTGTGTGTGAGCAGGCAGCAGAGTGCCAAAATCTAGAGTGGGAGCTGAAAAATTTGGACATGATTTCTAAACTGCCACCACTTCCTCATTTTCAAGCCCTAGACTACTGGTGGAGGCAAGAACACTTCACACAATTTCCCCAGAAATTGAAGCTTTTATAGTTTTTAGTATGTTTTGATGTATGCTGTTATAAACACAAAGTCTTAGAAAACTTAAAATTGTCCCTTGTCCACAGTTGTAATGTGGCTACAGTGATGGAATAGACACAGCCACTTGTCCCAATGTTCTAGGTGTGCGGATGAGCCACCCTGAGCACAGACACACTGCATTTGCTGTGGCTTGCCTGTCACATTATGTTCCCAGTAAAGAACTATGCAAGAGGACGTGTAAGCAGAAATCTGACCACTGGAGTAAAGGATGGCTATGCTCCTAAGTAAAATGCAAAGAAGAAACCTGACCATGCTAGCATGAAGGTACTTCGATACAAGGGGCAGACTGACCATTTGGTCCTCGAGCACTGCCCGAGGGCCTGGGGTTAGTAGGGGCCCCGTGAAAGGCTCCACACATTTCACACAATGACAGTATCTTTTCATCTGTCTGAATAATGTGTCCTCCTGAAATCAGGAAACATTATTTAGACAGGAATGTGGCTCAGAGAGGGAATCTGAAATGGGAGCAGATATGGAGCCCGGGACTGTCAGTGACAGTGAGGAGAGCAGGGGAGGAGATGGCAGCAGCAGCAGAAGCCCCCAATCCAGGAAGTAGCTCATATTAGGTAAATAGACACTGACACTTCACCACTGAGTCTCTCGCTCTTCGCCCCCCTCTCTCTCTCACTCTCCTTCTCCTCTCTTTGTTTCTGTCTCTCCCTCTCTCTCCCTCCCTCCCTCCCTCCCCCTCCCTCCCTCTCCTTCCCTTCCTCACTCCTTCTCCTTCCCTCCCTCCCTCTCCTTCCCCTCCCTCCCTCTCCTTCTCTCTCCCTCTCTCTCTCTCTCTCTCCCTTCCCTCTCCTCCCCCCCTCTCCTTCTCTCTCTCCCTCTCTCGCCCTTTCTCTCTCACCCTCTCACTTCCCTCCCTCCCTCCCCCCTCCCTCCCTCTCACTATCCCCCCCCCCCTCTCACTTCCCCCCTCTCTCCACTCTCTCACTCTCTCCCCTCCTCCCCCTCCCTCCCTCTCTCTCCTATCCTCTCTCTCCCCCTCCCCCACCCCCTCCCCTCCCTCTCTCTCACTATCTCTCTCTCCCTCTCTCCCTCCTCCCTCCCCCCTCTCTCTCACTCTCCCTCTCTCTCTCCCTCTCTCACCCCCTCCCCCTCCCTCTCTCTCTCACTATCTCACTCTCCCTCTCTCACCCCCTCCCTCCCTCTCTCTCACTATCTCTCTCTCCCCCTCTCGTCCCCCTCCCTCCCCCCTCTCTCTCACTATCTCTCTCCCTCTCTCCCCCTCCCTCCCCCCTCTCTCTCCTACTCTCTCTCCCCTCTCTCACCCTCCTCCCCTCCCCCTCTCTCACTATCTATCTCTCCCTCTCTCCCCCTCCCTCCCCTCTCTCTCACTATCTCTCTCTCCCCCCTCTCACCCTATCTCTTTCTCCCCTCCCCTTCTCTCTCCTTTACCCTCTCCCTCACCCTCTCTCCCCCCCCCCTCCTCTCACCCTCTCTCCCTCCCCCCCTCTCTCTCTCCCACCCCCTCTCCTTTTCTCACCTTCTCTCTCTCTTTCCCTCCCCCCCCCCCCCCCCACCCCCCATCTCCCCCCTCTCTCTCACTCCCCCCCTCTCTATCCCTTCTCCTTCTCTCCTCCCCCCCCTACCTCTTCCCCCCCTCTCCCCCCCTCCTCTCTCCTCACCTCCCTCCCTCCCCTCATCCCCTCTCCCCTCCCCCACCCCTCCCCTCTCCCCCCCCCCCCCCCCCCTCCCCCCCCCTCTCTCTCCCCATCTCACCCCCCTCTCCCCCTCCCCTCCTCCCTCTTGCTCCCCCTCCCCCCCCCCCCCCCCCCCCCTCCCCCCCTCCCCCCCTCTCCTCCCCCTTCCCCCCCCCCCTTTTCCCCCCCTCACCCTCCCCCCCCCCCCCCCCCCCTCCCCCCCCTCTTGCCCACCCCCCCCTCCCCTCCCCCCCCCCCCTCTCCCTCTCCCTCCCCCCCCCTCCCTCCCCTCCCTTCCTCACTCCCCTCCTTCCCTCCCCCCCCCCCCCT